GAGGAGCTCGATGGCGCAAGTGGTTAGCGCGTTCGGCTGCGATCGTTGAAGTTAAGCAACTTTCGCAGTGGTCGGTCATTGGATGGGTGACCAAAAATTTACTATCTCGAGCTCCTCCATGCTTCAGAAGGCACGTTAATCTGTTGGTCCCGGCTGCATCTGTAGTCGTTAGCGCCCACCAATCCGCACTGGGCCCGCGTGGTGGGTCATGACCCAATCTCCCTATTCCATCCACAGGGAAGGCCTGTGCCCCAGCAGTGGGGACATTAATAGGCTGATGATGATGATGATGATTGGCACATCACTCATTAAATAAAACTAGTTTTTACGGGTTAATGCACGAAACTTTATTTATTTATTGACGTTTCGCAGCCTTTTCAGGTCTGCATCGTCAGAATAATGATTTTTTATTTAAAAAATCATTATTCTGACGATAATAAATAAATAAAGTTAAAATACGTCAATAAATAAATAAAGTTTCGTGCATTAACCCGTAAAAACTAGTTTTATTTGATGATGATTGGGTCATATTTTCAATATAATACACTCGAGAGAAATAAATCCGGGTCACATAACGCATCCTTAATATCTCGCAGGATAATTAATGAAATAAATTGTGTTTAATAGACAATTAAATACTCTAAATTAAAGTAATAAAATTTATGAGTCACCACATTTTATTTACAAAAAAATACATAAAGAAAGAAAACTGGCTGATCTCATTACGATTTTCTTGAATTTTAATACTGCGTACTACCTCCTCGTGCTTCCATTACTGCATTTACCCGGGTTGGCATGCTGTACACTAAGTTTCTTAAACGATTTTGGGGAATATTCTCCCATTCCTATGTGAGAGCAATTTATAGCTGACGAAGCGTAATTGTGAGTGGGTTTCGTTATTTTACGCATCTCTCTAGCTCATTCCTAGCATGGTCGATCGGGTTAGGTTAGGTTAGGTTAGATGCGTGCTGACCATTCCATACGAGTAATGTTTATTTCTTGAAGGTAGTCATTCACAATCCAACCTGTATCAGGTCGGGCATTGTCATGCATAAAAATAGCATCCTCATTCAAATTCACCAAAAATGGACCAACGTGTTCATTAAAGATTTCTTCCACTAGTTAATTTAGTTAGTTAAAGAGCCGTTTTCTATGAACACCAGTTCTGTGGGACTCTCAGAAGAAATTCCGGTCCACACAATTACAGACCCACCACACCGTAGGTCACTTTTTCTTAGATGTATTCTTGCTTGCTTTCCCCAGGTTTTCTATACACTCTGTGTCTTCCATCGTGCTTGTAGAGCATAAATTTTGATTTGTCGGTGAACATAACTTTTGACCAATCATCAATCGTCCAATTTAAATGGTTCTGGGCATATCTTAGTCTTGAGATACGATGCCGTTTGCAGATCTAAGTGGTTCCAAGCTAGCTTCAGCAAATCGTCGTCTTACTGTCCATGCACTTGGTTCCTGTGAGAAAGCGATTTCAAAGCATGGTGTTCTTCTCGTGTTATGGTACACCTGGTTCTGCCTGCTCCTGGTCTGCGTAGGTTAGAGCCAGTTTCCTCGTAGCGTCGGAGAACTCTTTGTATTGTTGACAGCGACACACTGACAGTCCTGGCTGTATCGCGCTGACTCCGGCCGGTTTCCAGCCTTGTGAGAATTCTGGTGCATTCTTCAGATATAAGCGACATGATTACAGCTTGATTGACTTACTAGCGGCCGCCTGCGACTTCGTGTATATTGAACCCTATCGACATGGTTTATATGAATGATAAATGACAGATTAGAAACAAAAGCAAAAAACAAATGCAGTAATTGCGTAGTTCCATCTTCGAAAGCCTCTCTTTTCAAATTTGATTTTTTATGATATACCTTTACAATAACTAAGAAGTTTTAATATCTTCATTTAAGGAGGATTTAATTGTCTATTAAAAAGAATTTATTTCATTAAGCTAGTATTCTTAGTTTGCGTGATTTTTAGCATTCTTTAAGTGACACGGATTCATGGCTCTTGAGTGTACTTAGACATCTAATATAAACGTGAACTCATTTCTTTTGGAACGTCTTTGATGTAACACACGCAATGGGAAAATAAGGCACCTTTTAAACACCTAACACTTGACGTGGGGTGCTTACGAACGCTCCTGAATTTTGATGTAGAAAAGGTAGAAATTTGGATACACCTTTCACTGAAAAGGTGTAACAAGTTGCTGACAAGGCAATAAAATTCAAGTGTCAAAATAATGTCATATTCATCAATTTCCAGTAAATGTAGATTTTTTTTCTGTGTTGTAGTTGTGAATTTGCTTCGTGATAACAGTAGGTGCCTATTTTAAACTCCTCAGAAAAATAAAAAGAATTCTTTCCTTAAATCAAATGAAATAATTTGGCTTCACATGTTTCTTCCGTTTATTCTGAGAGTCGTATCAAAAAATCGTAAAACACTGTTTTAAGCCATGTTAAAAGGCAGAATTTGTAAAACATATTCTCTAGAAAATTTTATTTGAATAAATTCCACGCGGACCAGCAGCAGACGGGATTCGAACCCGCGTCCTCCGCTAATCGGGCGGATGCACTATCCATTATGCGACCGCGGCCCTAATTGTCCGTGTCGCATTTTCTCTAGCATTTGTTAGGCTGCAAGGCAGCGCCATTTCCACGCATTGTAGGTAAACCACAATGCCAAACAAAGCTTTACAAGTATTAACATTTGGAAGAAGAAAGTGCAATTACCTATAGTTATATGTTTATTGTAAACATCTATATGTAGATTTAAAAATCTAAAGAATATTTTACTAGAGAAAACTTTTTCGGGTCCAAGTTCCCTCTTCTGCCTGGTCCGCGTGGAATTTTCTTTAGATTTAATCATCTATCAAATAAATGACAAAAAATATAAAAATATTCTTCTTAAACTTGTGTTAAGAGCCCTTTTACAAAACGCTGCCGTACTGATCGGCGCGTAGGTAGATTTGCACTAGTAATATTGCATTTTACGGGTGATGTTTCGAGTCTTATAAAATAATTATTAATGAACTAATTATAAAAATATATATATATTTTAGTAGTTCTATAATGGTAGATTAGTTTTATGAGAGTTTTTGATAGTAATTCTATTTAATTCAATATCTAAATACGGGTAAACCTGTATTGTTTTTTGGAAAAACTCACGGAGATTAGATGTTTTTTTTGATAATTAATGAGATGGAAAATCAAAATTCTAATACATTATGTTACAACAAAAACATACTTCTGATATCATAGTAATTAATTTGATCTAATTTAATGAACATTATTTAAAGATTCAGGCGTTTGAAGTTGTGCATATTATCGTTTTTTCCGTAAACTAGCTGCGGTAGAACAATCAGTACAAAGAAATATTCTAAATTAACTTACAATAGGAAGAATAAATCTACTGTTTACTTCTATTGGAAATAGTCAATTTTTAAGGGGGTAAACGAGGCGCTCAAAAATTACATTATTTTGCAAAAAATGTGAAAGGGCTCTTAACACCCATTACTGTTTTTGTGGTATGGCTATAGGAGGCGTTTAGATGTTCACTGACTCAACTGTGGCCGTTGAAGTGTGGTCGCGTAACATATTATAGGTGCTTATGTTCTCCGTGCGTGACCTCGTTCAAGTGAAATTCCATTTCAGTTCCACTTCATTGGACTGGCGTTCTATTTCCTGCTCGTTTCCTTTGCGAGGGACCCGGGTGATATCACGCGTACATATTCCAAATTGTTCAAGTGTATATTGTTCGTAAATAGTTTACGTAGATGGAGTCATGCTAGGAAGCCAGTTCACTGTATATTCTTTCTTTTTCTTCTTTTAGACGGGTTAATTTATAACCTGCTTGATAAAGAGAGTAGGAGGAGCTCGATGGCGCAAGTGGTTAGCGCGTTCGGCTGCGATCGTTGAAGTTAAGCAACTTTCGCAGTGGTAGGGCATTGGATGGATGACCAAAAATTTACTATCTCGAGTTCTTCCGTGCTTCGGAAGGCACGTTAAGCCGTCGGTCCCGGATGCATCTGCAGTCGTTAGCACCCACCAATCCGCACTGGGCACGCGTGGTGGGACATGGCCCAATCTCCCTATTTCATCCATTGGAAAGGCCTGTGCCCCAGCAGTGAGGACATTAATAGGCTGATGATGAACAGCGGCGCCAAAACGGACGTAACAAGAACTAGAAATCAGTACACATTTGACAATGACATTTCGTACTCGCAAACGTTACGAATTTTACATTGTTTCGTGCTAGAGGTACAGATATACTGTACATATTGTTTTTTTTTGCCTTCGAAGGCAGCCTAGCGAACGAGTCACCTGATGTTAAGTGGTCACTGTCGCTCCGGGACATCAGCAATACCGTTGCTTTTAGTGGAACACTCTATGTAAGCCTCTACCATGTTATAGTACTGAGAGAACATTGTGGAAAGGAGGACATTCCATAATTCCATTGTACGTGGAATAAAAGATCTCTGGAAACGAAGAAAGTTCGTCTCTTATTCCACCTTCCCCTTTCCTTCAAAGGACCACGCGCGCTGGCTTACGTTGCCGCCGACTAACTGTGGACACTATTCCAACGTTTGAAAAGAAGACAATAAGAAGTTTGGTGACTCATTTCTTTGTCGCACTATCCATAAATGAAATGCTTTGCCCTCTCACGTGTTCTCTCCCTCTTACAACCTGGGATCCTTTAAAAGAGGCGTGAAGAAGCAACATGCAGGCCGGCAGGGTGAGGATGGCTGGTGTGGTACATAGAACTGCTGTATCAGCTATCTTCGCGTCTGGACTTCACCGTCACTTAACATCAGGTGGGGTGGAGTCATTTGTCAGACCTATCTATAAAAAAAAACAGTTGTGGACTTCAGTATGACTGTGTATGTATTTGCGTGCATTCTTTACGTTACGTTTTTCTGTGTTGAAGGTATCAAGCCATAGTGAGGCCGATGCGACCGCGCATGTCCAAGACCTGCTCTCTGATCATGATCGCGCTCATCTGGCTCAGCAGCATGCTGCTAGCCATCCCATGTCTTCTGTACTCCACCACCAAAGTATACAGGTAAGTTAAATGTATAAGAGAGCTAGGACTTAGCGTGCTTTCCGTTCGCATTGGAGTGCCCGTCTGTGGCAGCAGCCTTCACCTTGCAGAAGATTACAGTAATTGATATTGTGTTTCTGTCGATGTGTAAGGTTCCTGGACTCCAAAAGATACGGTAGGGAAGGATTGGGTAGGGTAGGCAACGTTGCGAGTAATAATATTATTGGTATCGCCAGCGTCTATTCTATAGGCCACGTTGGCAGCTTACCTCAAGGCGTGCCAAAAGCTTGTTTGCCATTATTTTAACATAAAAAAGATGGAAAACCATTGAAGTCGCGCCACTGTTGCCAGCTCTGTAAGCATGTACCTACGTGAACTTGGATACTCGTTCCTTAAAGGCCGGCATCGCATTGGCACTGTAATATTATCTATACAGTATTGTGACTCCGCCCTGTCCTTGAAAATAAATGCCTATCGCGCGCTCGGCCGAGCGCTGCGTTAGCACGCGGTAGGGCCGCCCACCTACAGTATTTTATGTAGTTTTGTTTTTAACACGAGCGTAGGTAGATTACTCGTTTGTCTCTTTTTTCATCCTAACCACTTATTTATATATTATTCCAGATATTTTGCCCGATGGAAAAACCGAAATACCTAAATATTAGAAACAAATTACGTACTAGTAGATAGATATATAAAAATATTCTATAAAGGTAAGACACCTTTCCAATATTGCAGGTAATTTAAAAAATGATATCTCTGGGTGTGTTATTGAAGAGTTCAAGCAACCAAAAACAGCAATTGTGCTGTTGTACGATATTGATCGTCGTTTGTTCTTTTCCATACTAAATTATGTAGGTATCTACTTAATTAAATCAAATATTTACAATACAAAACGCACGTTTAAGCACGGCTAACTGCATAAAAAACAATTCAGACCGTTCGGTCGTCGTTGCGGCGCGGCGGCGCATTCGCGACTGGGTGCCCGCCGAGAGCACATCGAACTCGAGTGGTGTAGAAAGAAAGAAAGAAAGAAAAATGTTTTTATTGCTGACAACACATAACATACACATAAAGTCAAAAATACATATAACAAAAAGTAAAACAAAACGTACAAGTAAAATTAACAACAACAAAAAACAGCTACAGACGGTAAATGTGTATTTTATGTGATGCCAACACTGGATATGACTCAGCATACACAGCAGGAAAAATTCCTGCTGCACTGGTATTCTGCCATACCCAGAGCAGTGACATCACAGAAAAGAAAAAGGTAAAATACAGATTAAGTACATACTAAATAACAAAACAAAAAAGAAAAGAAATCAGTATAGGACAGAACACATAGCAGTATCTGTGGCAGAAATTATACATTGTAACAGAGGTAATCTGTGGTTATTTACAAAGAAAAAATAAAATAAAAATTAAAGATGGACTTTGACTCTTAGTTTTAGTGACAGTGACACGTATGCAATACAAAAAAATGAAAAGAAAAGATTCGGCTGTTACAAAAAGCAATATATTTATTGAAAATAAATTAAAAGGTAAGGGAAAAGATAATTAAACGGGCTGCACCTGTGTCTGTAACAAGAACAACTTAAAATTATTTTTAAATGTGTCATGTGTTTTCAGTGAACGTATTGGGGGTGGCAAATTATTCCAACACTTCGAAGCTGAGTACTTTGTACGTGTAGGTATGACTCGCTTTCCGACCGTTTGTATGAAGATAGAATACTGTATGATATTATTACCGTGGCATTGGTGACACTTCTGGTGTTGCAGAATGCAGATGTCTGTTTGCGATGGTCAACTATATTACCCTAGATACACCATGTGCGCTCAAAATGTGTCCCAATCAAGAAGTGTTTGAAAACCACTCACGCGCTTCTTGGTTCACAGTCACGCGCGGACCGTTGAAAAGGCAAGTCGTCTCGTCGCATTGGAGTGCCTCTCTAAGCCCGACGTCTCCAAGCCCACAATCTAATAAAAGCCCAATGCGCCTAAGCAAGTTTTTAGTACCGATTAAAACAAAACAAAAGATAAACGTAACCCCTCGTTTACACCAAGAAACTAGTCGTAAACTAGTTTTGTACAATACTTGTAGAATACTTGTTGTGGTTGTTTAAAACCTTTTTTTCGTTTACACTGCATAGAAAACTGGTATCTTGGCAAGTTGTAATCACTCATTTACTTCACATATTTTGTTCATCCAACTAGTTTGATACCAAGAATTGTGAACAAAAATTGAAGACACTGTATTAAACTTGTTAAATACGTGTCTATCTAAGCCTATCCGCGAAGGTCAATTAAAACAAAAATAGGCTGTTAAGTACATTTTTTTTATGATTTTTGGTAATTTAGAAGCTATGGAAACTCCTTTTTGTATTTTTAAATTGAAGTTGAATGTTTGAGTAAATCCTACTAAAAAATATATTTCCAATTTTCAAGCCTTTTTTGAGTAACTTTAATTAACTTCAGAAAGCTGAGTTATTTTTTTTATGAAAACAGCATTCAAGACAATTAATTCACAAAAAAAAAGACTGCAAAATACCTACTCCGAAAAAAGATATGATTTTTTTAAACCTCGCTGCCAGAAATCATTAAAAATACACAAAAAAAATATGACTCGAAAACTAAGAAAAATCGCGGAACATACATAGGGTATTTTAGGATACCCCCAGGTGCGAGGAATCTAAAAAAAAGTGTTGGCGTCACTAATTGGACCACCCTGTATATACCTTGGTGTAAACGAGGGATTTGGCAAACTGATCGGGCGGCCCATAGTCTCATCTACGTATTGACATTTTCCCTCTCTTTTTAGAGAATAGTCAATGGATACGTGAATGTCACTCCGTCCAATGTTTATGTGTGTCGTCGAAACAAAGCTACTTGAAATTGTCCCAAAGCACAGTAGAACACACATAGCAAGCAGAACAACCATTATGCTTAGTACTTTTATTTTATAAAACCAATTTTTCACGGGTTAATTTTATTATCTATTGACGTTTCGCAGCCTTTACAGGCCGCGTCGTCGCGATTATCGCGCGGCCTGTAAAGGCTGCGAAACGTCAATAAATAAATAAAGTTTCGTGCATTAACCCGTGAAAAACTAGTTTTATTTAATAAGTGATGTGCGTGAAAACCTAAGAAACAAATAGTTTTATTTTTCTAGAAAATATTTCAATCGTTTCTGCTATCAGTGCATTGTTAAAGCACTCGTGATGGAAATGGTTTTCACATTACCTTCAATTTATTTATTTAAAGTGTGAAATATTCCATTTAAGATCTATTTAAGACGTCGCTCAGAAAAAGTCACCTATTTATTGACACCATATCATTTAGTGCTGTTCGAGTTTAATCTTAAGATAACGCATCCAATATTATTGGCAGAAAAACGAACTATGGGGGTTAAATAGTATCAGTTAGTAGTTAAATGTCTTTGCTTTAACTTTGTATGATACTAGTGGCCCGCCCTCGCTTCGCTTGGGGGTAGAATTGATCAAAATCTTTTCTTAGCGGATGCCTACGTCATAACATCTACCTGCAGGCCAAATTTCAGCCCGATCCGTCCAGTGGTTTGGGCTGTACGTTGATAGATCACTATGTCAGTCAGTCACCTTTGAGTTTTCTATATATAGATAAACATCGTTACTCTACGTCTGCATATACGGTTATTGTATTTTATGTATTCTCTCCACTCTTATATGATTTCTTTTCAACTTTCAGTGAAATTCAATTTGGCAGATGTAATAAGTGTTTATTTTACGTACCGTACCATATTAAAGAAAGATTCTAATATATTCCATATTGGAAGTGCGGCACCAGCTCTCGCGTGATACCGTATAATAATACCTGATGGCATGCATAAATAATGTAGCCCGTTTGTTTTTTAATATTAGCAGTTTGTTTTTTGTTCAGGGCGTTCTGGGAATATGTATACTAAATGTATACTTATCGTTGTTATAATTCATATGTGCACAGCTATCTTTCCACCTTTCCACGGACTTTAGCTGATCAAATTTTATTTTTTAATTATTTTAATGTTGTTAGCGTTAAGGCAAAGGAAAAGAAAAAAAAAATACTCAGCCTCTGCATATATATTTCTTTTCATTTTTACTTATTGTTTTTTTTTTTTTGTTTGTGGTATTGTTAATCGTGATTGTGTCGTTTATTAATCTGTTATTCACGTCAACCTTAGGCGCTGCCAGAATATCAGCGCCGCAGCGGCCTTGGTGTCGTTGTGGCATTGTGCTGAGGCAGGGACCTAGTTGACCTGTTTGTTATCTGTGCTTTTTATTTGTATTTTTTTTTTATGGTCAATAAACAATTTCTTTCTTTCTTTCTTTCTTTATATGTATCAAACGTTCAAATTAATTTCGCTGTGTTAAGTTTACAAAATTAATATAATACAAAGAGGAGCTAGATGGCGCAAGTGGTTAGCGCGTTCGGCTGCGATCGTTGAAGTTAAGCAACTTTCGCAGTGGTCGGTTGTTGGATGGGTGACCAAAAATGTAATATCTCGAGCTCCTCCGTGCTTCGGTAGGCACGTTAAGCCGTTGGTCCCGGCTGCATCTGCAGTCGTTAGCACCCACCAATCCGCACTGGGCCCGCGTGGTGGGTCATGGCCCAATCTCCCTTTTCCATCCATAGGGAAGGCCTGTGCCCCAGCAGTGGGGACATTAATAGGCTGATGATGATGATGAAGTTTACAAAAGCTATACTATTACGAACATTGTGTTGATTATGCAAAGTTAAAGTGTATTAATGGTGTATTTTTTTGTCTGTGTTGTTGTTTCTGGTTAACACAGAAATTTAACCAGTGTCCCGTAGTGAGAGAGACACGAGACGAGAGAGATTGCTCGGAATTTATTTATACAAATACTAGCTGTCCCAGCGAACTTCGTACCGCCCTAAAAAAATAGGGGTTGGTGGTAGAAAGGTGAAAATTTAGGGTTGTATGTATTATTGTATAAAAAATAAAATTAAAAAAATATATATATAAAATTGAAAAAAACAACTAGGGG